AAATGAAAGTGTGACAAGAGCTAAATTTACAATTTTACAGATATAATAATTAGAAGCTTTCTTGGTCTCGAAATTGCAGTAAAAAAATATTAATATACCATTTATCGCCTAAAAATCATAAATTGAAATGTGTATTAATACTATATTACGAAAATTTTTAATTGAATTTGAAATAATTTGCAATATTCACCTGAAATTTGTTATAGTAATTCATGCTCTTTTAAAACCCCTAACATAAACTAATAAAGACATCATTTAATAGAATTTAAAAATATCATTCAGAAAATACAGAATGCGATTGAGTATGTGATGACCATCACATCAGATTTTTGCTTGTTTTTTTATTAATTTATTTTTGTTTTGCATTTTTGTGTGCAATACAAACTACTATACACTGTGTTCTGTCACGTTGATTATAATTATTTTGTTTTAATATTTTTTTTTCTTCTTCTTTATTTATTTATTTATTCATTAACTTCATTTTAAGATTAGAAAAGAAATATTTTTACATAAATACTTTAACTATTTATGAACTTATTTTTTTTTTATTATTATTTCAAACATACCTATAATACATCATATGCTTGCATAGACACTACTGTGTAACAAAACAAACAAAATATCTGTGTAAATATGTAAGTGTACAATAGGAAATATTCTCATATCTCTATTCTCCAGTTTTGATGTAGTATTCTATTAGTATAAGATATTCTCGATGTGCACAGAACTGGATAAACGTAATAATAATATATTATGTATGAATGTATTCTTATATGTATGTATATATATTAAGAATTATAAAATATTTAACTATGTCAGATTGTATTGTGTTTGATTTATTGTGAAAGTGTAAATAATATAAGAAGAGCATTTTTTCATTTTTCCTATTTTTTTTTTTTGTTGTGTTCACTCAAGTATTTTTCTTCTAATATGTACGGTGCGGTACGGTGCGGTGCTATGCGGTGCGGTGTAGTACACGTTCATATTCATAAGTATAATAAAAAATTAAAGTGTATAAGTATATAAAAAGTGCCTATATATACCTACTTATATTTATTCATAATTTTCTATTTTTTTTTCATTCTTTTTATTATTAAAAAAGATTTTTCTTTTAAGTTTATAAATTTTTTTTTGTAGCCAGCTTGAATAAAAAAAAAAAAGGTTTTTGAATTATATTTTTTTTTATCGTTTTTTTTTTTTTTATTATTGCTTCTTATTATTGTTTTTTTTTTTTTATTTTTCACTTGACGAAATTCAACGAAATTCAGCATTTTCTGTTCTCAGTTATGATAAAACAGTCGCGTTGTGCTAAACATATAAACAACATCATACAAAACACAACAGATTATTTATTTATTTATTTATTTTTCTTTTTTTGTGTTTGTTTGTTTGATTATTATTTTGTTGCTTCTTATTATTTTGTTGTATTGAATTGATATGACAACAAAACAACAATAGCAATAACAACAACAAGTTTAATATATTGTAAATTTAAAACTTTTATACATAAAGCTTATAAAAATGTATAATAGATGTGTGGTGTGCAAGTAAATTGTATGATGATAAAACTAATAAACTATAATTTTTTATAGTACAGAAATTGATTCGGGAAATATTTTTTGAAAACATAAAAATAATAAGAATAAAAAGAAAATAATAATTTTTTTGAGAAATTTTATTTAATAAAAATTTTACTTAATAACAAATAAATATTAAATTTTATTGTATATGTATGGTGTAATTTTGTATTTAGGTCTAGATGAAATTTATAACATGGAATAATTTTATTCTTATTAGAAAGATTAGATAGTTTGGATATTACAGAAATATTTGTGTTCTTCAATTATATTAAAAATATTTTTAAAAACTTCCTTATATATACAAAGTGAAAATAATTGAAAATTTTGAAAAATGAAAGAATTGAAAAAATAGTGGGAAAAATAATTAAAATATTAGAATTGAAAAAATTGGAAAAAATTAAAAAAAAAAATTGATACACGTTTTTAGTTGCTATAATATTATTCTGTTATACATAGTATATATATTCTGTTATACACAGTATATAATCTGTTATACACGGTATTGTTTTGTTATACATATAATATAAATTTAAATATAATAAACAAAAACAACATACTTGTAATAAATTTATAAAATAATAATAAAAATAATAAAAAAATAACACTAAGCGGTCTTCTTCTTTTGAAAATTTTTGTTAGTATTATTCACAACGCGATATCATCACAATTACTTACTCTATATAATATTAACTAATATTATAATAATATAAACAGCTGGTTATCATCTTTTAAAACACTTTTATACCTAATAATTTAATGAAAACAAACGAGAAGAAAATTTATTTTTACTTAGTTGTTTTTTTGTTTCTCAACAATAATTTCATTTTGTTGGAAATATTAAAGCGCACAGTATTATTATTACACCACAATATACAAGATGACAGTTTAATTTAATAAAATTAAAAAAAAAAAAAAAAATACTTTGAATCCTAAAAAAAATTTATTTTTTATTTAATATTGTGAATATTTTGTTAAATTAAAATAATATAATAAAAAAAATAAATTATTTAAAAATTAAATTTAAAAAATAATTTACAAATTTTGTATAAGAGTTATTTTCTCTAAATATTCATATTTAATTTATTTATAAATAATTTTTTAACAATTTAATTTTAATTAATAATTTTTTTTATATTAAAATAATTGGTTATAATTATTATTATTTAATTGTTTTAGATGAATAATTCGAAAATTTTTATTTAATTTCGAATATTTAATTTCGAATAATAAATTTATTATTGATTATATCAAAAGGAATATAATTAAGTGATATATTGATAATTATCTCAAAATACATCCATACATATATACAAAACATGTATTTAACTATGAATGTCAATTAATTTTGATAAAATTTTGAGCAATTTAATTCGAAAAAAAAAACAATAACAAAAGAAAGTAATTTTGTAAATAACAAATAAATTAAGCTATTAAAATATTATTAAAAGTTCGATATTATACGGGATATCAATTTATATATACATACTCGTAGGTACATGTGTATATAAAGATAAACATTACTTACTTCTTTGTATGTGTGCAAGTTAAAAATAAGGGGATAAAAAATAAAAGCGCCATATAAAACGATAACAAAATTTTCTGGTTTTTTTTCATTTAATTAACAATTAAGCTTATTTAACAAAAATATCGAAAATATTAATATCAAATAAAATTGATTAAGATTTTCAAAGCAAAGAAAGAGCAAAAGAAAAAAAAAATTATATACACGAAAATTATTAATTAGCAAAGAAATAAATTTGGAAAAAAAATATTTTTTTTTTGACTTAAATCAAATAAAAAATTCATTGTTGATGGTCATCTCACCACGGAAAATATAAAAATAAATAAATTTTAAAAACAAAAAAAAAATTAATAAAAAAATATTATTTAAATATAAAAATTTAATATAAAAACAAAAAAAAAATAAGAATTTAATATAAATTTTATTTTTTTATATAAAAATTTTATTTTTATATACTAAATTTTAAAAATATAAATAAAACAAAAAATTAAGAAAAAAAAAAATGTCAACAAATTTAAAAATTCCCCATATAAAAAATTCAAATTTTTTTGTTGCTTGTGGTGAAATTTATTATTTCTCTGATGTTGCTGAATTCTTAATAACATGCAATATATGTAAAAATGAAAATTTTGAAAATTTTACAAAATTTTCAAATCATTTAATTATTTGTTTTAGTAAATTTAAATTAAATACAAATAATAATAAAATATTGGATAATGAAAAACAAAAGCAGAATCAAGATGAATATGAAGAAGGTATTTTAAAATGTTTATAAACATTTTAATATTATTATTTATACATTGTATACGAATTTAATACAGCTACAATTATTTTTTTTTTCCTCTCTTTTCTATACTGTCTCTCTTTCTCTTTTAAATTTAATTGTAGTTACAAAAATTCAATTAGAAACACAACAAATTACTTCAACATCAGGAAAAACAGATTTACAACAACAAAAAGAATTATTACAATATAATTCGAATATTTTAGAAGAAAATATATTAGGAAATAATATTACAACAAAAATTACTCAAACAAATCGATTAATATTGGAAAAATCATTACCGTCACCGTCATTGTCATCATCAACAACAACATCATCATCATCATCATCATTACTGTTATCATCATCAAATAATGAAAATATTAATAAAATAATTAAAGATCAAATTAAAATTGAAAGTATTAATTATAATAATATTAATAATAGTAATAATGATTTAAATAATTATGATAATGATATAAGTTTAAATAATAACAATAATAATAATAATAGTAATAATTGTGATAAAGTTCCTGAAGAATTATTAGAGCAAGTTCTTAGTTTAGAAGATGAAACAAGTCAAAAATCATATATATTATCAAATAATAATCAAATTCCAATTAATTTAAATAATAATAATAATAGTAAAAGAATTTTAATTGAAGAATCAATAATTTCTTCTTCTACTAATAATTGTATAAATAGTAATAGTAATAATAATATTATAGATAATGTGCCTCTAGTCAATAGTAACGAAAATTTTGCAATTATAAAAACAAATAATAATAATAATGATAATGATTTATCAATAAATAATAATTTATCTTTACAAAATATTTGTTCAGATTCATTTAAATTTAAAATATCACAACAAAATATAATTAATACAAATAATTCGAATAATTCAATTTTAAATAATAATACTAGTAAAATTGTTTTATCATCTTTAAGTAAATCAAAATTTGAAATAATTGATAATAATGAAATTAATTTAAGTATTAATAATAATAATAATGATTTAGCATTTAATATTTGTAATGATAAAAAAATTCAACAGTTGAATGAATCTGATGATCAAAAATTAAATAATAATCATATTGAAAAAAATAAAAAAGATTTTAATATTACTAGTACAACGACAACTACAACAACATCAACAACAATATTAACAAATGTTATTTCAACAATTTCTTCTAATATATCTAACACGATTTCTTCCTCCAACACTATAAATAATGAATTACCATATAAATGTGATAAATGTTATAATACATTTAAAAATGTTCATTGTTGGCTTAAACATTTACGTAAAATACATAATATTACAAAACCATATAACTGTGATAAATGTCCAAAATCTTTTACACAAATATCACGACTTAAAGTTCATCAACGTATACATACTGGTGAGAAACCATTTAAATGCTCATATTGTGAACGAAAATTTAATCAAATTAGCCATCGGCAACGTCATGAACGTACACATACTGGTGAAAAACCATATTTATGTAAAATATGTGGTAAATCATTTACACATCCAGAATCACTTAAAGCACATAATGTAACACATTCCAGTGAAAGAAATGATAAAAATAAAACAATAACAACAACAATACATACAAAAATTGATGAAACTACTGGACGCTTAATTTATAAATGTGATAAATGTAATGAAGTATTTTTTCAAATTAATTGTTTACAATTACATCATCAAAAAAATCATTTATTACGTAAATATACATGTAAAGAATGTGGTAAATCATTTAATCATTCATCAAATTTAACAGTACATCGAAGATTACATGATCCAGATTCTGGTAAACGTTTAAAATGTTCACTTTGTGATCGTTTATTTCGACAAGTTGGTCATTTAAAACGACACGAACAAACACATACTGGTATTAAACCACATAAATGTCATATATGTGAAAAAACATTTGTTGAAATGAAAGATTTACGAAATCATTTACAACGTCACTCAAATATGAAATTTGAATGTGAATATTGTTCAAAATGGTATAAACTTGAATATGATTTGAAACGTCATAAAAATAGATTACATATGAATTTTGAAACATTACAAGTTAAATGAAAAATTAAAAATTAATATGTATTTCATATTTTATACAAAAATTTTAATAAGATGTATAAAAATATTTTATATGTATAACAGCAAATGTACATGTTTTATTATAAAATTCAAGTTAAATTACTGTTATACACATGAAAATTGCTATTAAAGAGTATAAAAGCAATCAGTGGCAGTTCTTTTAAAATTCATTAAATGGCCAAATTTCGAGCATCTTCGTTGAGTTCGGCCCATGGAGATTCTAATTATGTATAACGCATTAAAAATTAATGAAGAATCTGAAAGTTATTGAATATTTAATGAAATAAGAATGTTATAAAATAAAAGGAGTTAAAACAATTTTTAACGAATATAAGAATGTTGCATCAACATGTTGCTAAATGAAAAGTATAATATTATACATTACAAAAATGTTAAATTTTAATTTTATTAAGAAATCTTTAGTAAGAAAAATGTCATGTTACAAATTATGACTTAAGAATAGTGTCAATTAGATAAAAAAAATAATTTTAATGTACTTATATAACTAAAATTTAAATTATTTCAGATTTAAATTGAGGAATCATTGTATAAAATTGTAAAACATAAATAGAAAAATGTAAATTTAGAAATGTTCCATATCCAAAAACGTTCTATTTAAATATTTAAAAGAAGAAATTAATAAAATAAATAAAATTAATAGAAAAATAAATGTAAACTTGTTTTTCATTTTAAAAGTCACTTTTATAAATAATTGTATATTAAATATTTAATTTAATTTATAATTACATAAATAATTTAATTGATGGTTTTTTTTTTCGATTCATTTCGCATTACATTGGGAATTACCAAAACCCTATAATTAAAATATTATAATAATTTCCAGTTGCTCTTTCAATATTAGGACATACGTAATAATATGGAAAAAAAAATATTTATAGAACAATTGAAAATTGAAAAATGTGAAAAATGTAATTGAAAATTTTAAGATCAAATACTAAATTACATTTACAGTTTTAATGGAATTGAAATGCTTGAAATTCAACTTTGATATTATAGCATTCATATGAACTGTTATACATACTTTTCTATATACTAGATTTATTTGAAAGCAGAACAGAAATGCACAAGATATAAAATGAGAATATTTTTTAATTTATTTATTTAATATAATGCTTTAAATATTTAGAGCGAAAATTTATTATTTCTAATAATAGCTATTGGCTTTTTAAATTTTATCAAGTATTAAAATTTTGTGATTAATATTTTTTTTTTATTATTATATTTTCAATTTAAAATTTATTACTCATATGCAAATTCATAATATTTATATATTAATACCATTGAAATGATAACATTTTTATATTTATTTATTAAGATTTTTCTTTTATATATGTACATACATATATTCATATTATGCATTCAAATAATTGTAATTAGTGGTTTTTTTTATTTTATATTTTAATTGTTATATACATATATATACTTGTATATATATTTAATGAAGAAAATGTTATAAATTATATGATCTAATTTTATACTTTATGATGGTAGTATGTAAAAATCAATGAATTCGATTATCTTTTATAAAATTGTTCTTCAAGAATTCTATATATAAATCTATGTACAATTTTTATTTTTTTTTCTGGTCAAGGTTGAGTACATACTATAAAATGAATATAAGTATGTATAGTAAGAAATTGAGAAGTGATAAATTGTTTAAAGATTTGTATATATAATTATACAATATGTTATAAAAGAAACTTATATAACGATAATTGTTATTGAAAGACCATCATGCAATTGGTTACGATTAAAACTATTAAAATCATTCAATATCAAACTTATATTCATTGAATTTATTTGTAGAACACATCAAATAATTTATTGGCATATTATAGTTTGATACAATTATTTAAGAAGGAAATAATATATTTCATTTTAAAATATTCTAAAGCAAAAAAGAAATCAATTTCAGAAAAATCATTAAAAAACTACTTACACTTAAATTCAATTTACTCAATGTTAACATTGAACAAATTTAAAAATCTGAAAAATTGAATTATTTGAGTTAATTCAGTTTGGTTTTGCCGGTGCTATAACATATTGAGATTTTAAAAAGTTGCTCTATCGGAGAAATTTTGCTTAGTTGCGTTTTGTTATTATGTTATTAAATAGCAGTTACCAATGATTAATGAATAACAAATCAAACACGTTCGATCATCGACAATATGTATGAAGGTGCATAAATATAGTAATAAACTTAAAAATTTAAACCCTAATATTTTTTTAATAGATACAACAGTATAAAGAAAACATATTTTCTATATGTTACTCAAATAGTTAAATATTTTATTGTAGATAGAGAAAAAATGAATCATTTATCATTGGTCATTGGCCAGAAATTGTCAAATAAATAAAAAAATATTCATAATATTTTTTTGGTTATTTTTTTCGTATTTTTTTTTTTTCTGTATTCATCTAAAAAATAAAAAAGTTCAAAGAATTTTTTTCTTTAAATTTTTTAATGTCCAATTAATAAAAATTATTATTATATTTTGTTAAAAGAATGAAAAATAAAATCGTTCTGAACATAGTCGTATAACAGTTTTTTTTTTTGGTAATAAAATTGTAATTTAAGTGCCAATTTTATAAATATACTCTAATGTCTATTTAATAATATTTAATAAACGCAATTTTTTAATTAATAATTAAAAACAAAAACTAAAAATATGAATTTTTCAATTGTGAATAGAATTCACATGTGTTTTATGAAATTGTTGTTATTTGCCTTAAATTTGTATGTATGTACCATAAGCCTACACGTTTCTTTTAAATATATAGTCCAACAATTTATTTTTATTTTGAAAAAGCCTAAAAAAAGAATTAAAATAAACTTCTCAAATATAATTTACTCTCATATACGTATACAAATAAAATATGTGTAATATGCGTGTGTAAATACTTAAAGAGTTAAAAAAATAAAATAAAAACATATATAAATTAATTTTTATAATTCATTCATTTAATTAATTGGATGCTAGGGAGCAAGATATAAAGAAAGAAAAATAATTTCAGGCACACCATGTTCAAAATTTAAGACAAACATTTAAAAAAGAATAAACAAAAATTGTATTTTTATCTTCTTCTTTTTTTCTCTTTAATTATTGTTAACTATGCAATTAAAATCAATGATATTTAATATGTGTATATATAAGATAAACAGGGGTGTCGGAATCATACATACATGCATTATGTTTATATATGGTTTATCATATGAGGTTATGTCAATAATTAAAGTATTTATTAAAATTTTTTCATGTAGTTTGAGTATAAACATAAATTGTATATTTTATAAAATTGTATAAAGTATAATTTGTATGTGATTATATTAATATCATACATGTAGTAGTATTATACACCAAGTCGTATTATATAAGTATGAAGCAGTATCATACATTCTGTATTACATACAAAAAAAAAAAGTAATTTTGTTAAAAATCTGCAAGCACTCGGATAATTTTAAGGTGATAAAAAAAATATTTTTTACAAATTTTTTAAAAATTTTTTATGCTGCTATAAATTTTTTGCTGGTTACATTTTCGTGTTGCTGTTTTTTGACAAATCACCCGTGAAATATTATTGAGTACAGTAAATCTCTTGCTTACATTTACCGTCTGGGGGCAATTGAAGCTAAAAGAAAACAATTTTTAACCCTTAATTTGTTATGTTCTAATGGAAAACAAATGGAAATGATTGATTCAAACGATTTAAATGATGGACTGCCATTTTCTTGCATTTTCTTTCAGATTGAAAAGTTCTGCCTTATAAGTATAGAAATTCTTTCAATTTTAATTAAAATTTCCAAGTATGTTAATAGACTTTCGATAAAAAAAATACGTAAGTGTACATGAAGATCTAAGGTGAATTTTTAAATTTTTATCATTCAAGTTAAAGATACTTTTTGCATGTTCTACATTTTATTACAGCTAGTCCCATTAACTAATTAAATATACAATATAATAGTAAAATTGTCTGGTAAATATCTGATTAAATTAAATTTATTTCTATTTAAATTGTTAAGAAAATAAAATCATATATAAAGTAAAAGGGAGTCAATTTAACACTAAATGAAATTTTATATATTATATATTATACATATATGTATAATTTATTTACGAGTACTTATATATATATATGAAATTGAATCGAGTTAAACAAATTCATAAATAAAAATAGTTTGTACTTATTTTGTATCACAACTTAAATTAAATAATATTTTAAATATATATTATGTTATACACATGTATAAAACTACATATATATGAACATATTTCTTAGAAATGTGTTATACAAATATAAAAAAAATATTAACTTAGAAATAAATGAATGAAATTTAAATTTAATTTAATTTTGTAGTTGAATGACAAAATAAAAAGAATTATGTATTCTTGAGTAATTGAAAAAATTTAGGATGGAATAAAATAAATAATTTCAAAGTATATTTTTTTATATGTATGAATAAAAGTACATACCTAATATATGTATTTTTTTTATTTTTCAAGTACTTATATCCCAGTTTGATGATTTATTATTCTACTTTCGCTTTATAAAATAGTCATTTAGTGATAAGAAAATGAATGAATCATATTGTAGCAGTTTACAGAAAAATAGCGTAATTTTAACGTAATATATATATATATATATATATATATAATTTAAATAAGTGAAATAGTAAATTATATATTTAAATAAAATGTTTGAAACTAATAAGTTTTATTGAACTTTAAAAATATTAACAGTTTCATAAATAAAATAATTATTTTCATATTGTATTTTAGGAAAAAATTTTGCTGAAAATTAATTCTTTGACTATTTGTATGATTTGCTGCTTTAAACTGTGTGTATACGAACATGTTTGATTAATTAAAATTTTGTTTGAAATGTAAAAGTACTTGAATGTATATTTGAAAGACCACTTTACTGGTATGAATGTAACTAAATGTTCTATAATTGGAACATACATTTTGCTCGATATCAAAATATTAAGTATTTATTAGTATTAAGTGATACTATATGTAATCAAACAATTAACTCCCTCTATCATACC